CCTTCCCCCGCCTGCAAAACACCACGTTACCCTCTGCACCGAGGGCACAGCCAGAGCAGCACTGCGTGGCACGGGGAAACCCAAAGGGAGAAGCTTTAGATTAAATATTAGGAAGAAACTCTTCCCTGTGAGGGTGGGGAGGCCCTGGCACAGGTTGCCCAGAGAAGCTGTGGCTGCCCCTGGATCCCTGGAAGTGTCCAAAGCCAGGTTGGACAGGACTTGGAGCAGTGTGGTCTAGTGGAAGGTGTCCCTGCCCATGGCAGGGGATTGGAACTGGATGATTTTTAAGGTGCCTTCCAACCCAAACCAGCCCATGATTCTGGGATTAGTGGTGGTGCACAGCAGCTCAAAATTCTGCCTGTAACTGCTACTGCAATGAGCTGTGTTGGAACAGAGCAACCCATCTTTCCTTTTACATTTGGGGTGGCTTTTCACACCCCATCATCTTCCACACCAGCCCCATCCAGGAGCACCCACGGCGACCCTTCCAGCCTCCCAAACACTGCTCACTGAGCCCACCTGGACAATCAGCAACAAGGGAAAGTTCTCTCCCCTCTGGGGCCGTCCCCGTCTCACATCCCCACACCATATCCCAGGCACAGTCATGGGATACACATATCCGGACATGAAATCATGTTTATGCAGTGGACTCATTTCCTCTCTTGGGCCGTTTGGCCGCCGCGCTCGCGGATGCGCGTGTGGAGGGCTCAGTCTCTCCTCCCGTGGGCCTGCCCCACTCCCAGCACAGAAGCTTTGGGTTTTCTGAGCGACCCACGGTGGGGGGGAGAAGTGCAGACCAAAGCTTTGGACTCGCTGCAACCAGTGCTCTCAAAAACACCCCGCTATCTGCTCCGTTCCTCTCATTTTCCCTAAAATGGCGAGTTGGTGACGGTCCAAAAAGCGAAATCAAAGAAGTGGCCTTGTCGTGCCAAAATGCAGCCAGGAAGGTCAGGGGCAGGTAGTTGTGGGGTTTTTTTTTCTCCCTTTTGGAAAACAGGGTGAGGGACTCTGGCTGAAATTCAAGTGAACTTTCTTTTGGAAAGGATCTCCTCCGTGTACGGGGAGTGATAACTCGGAGGATCTCCTCTCTCACGGCGCGTGTTAAATCCTTTTATCTCTGTGAAGGGGTCACTTTGTTTCCTGCAAAAGGAACTCGCTGTGTCTTTTGTGAGTGATTTTCATGCTGAAGGGGCACCGAACATAATCCTGTCCTGTCTGGTAGTTTTTACCAACAATCTGTGGTCACAGGGCTTTTCTCCTCCTTCAGCCAGGTCCATTTTGATTCCCGTTGAGCACATTTGTCAGGCAATACTGGCCCAGGCAAACAGGGGCTTGTTACCAGTTATTACCCCTGGGTCCACTGGTAAAATGTGGCACAGGTGGCCAGGGAAGGAGGAAGAGACAAAACCCCCATTCTCTGGCATTTAAAGGGATACAGTACATGTGGAAGGAAAACAGTGAGTCCTGGGATTGTTGTGCTCTCACTGCTTCTTCTGTATTTGCCTCTGCTTTGGATTTAGGTTGGCAATGATTTTGCCTGAGCCAGGCCTTCTGCGATTGGTGAACCTGCAAGACACCAAAAAAAAAAAGCGATTTTTCTAAGTAAAATAAATTTTTCTCCAGCGCTGCAGTGAGAGAGTGAGTCCCTGGGCAAACAACTAATGTTGAGCTCAGAGCAGTAAAACTGCAGAAGGGTATTGAGCCCTGTGAGTGCAGCAGCGCTTGACTCCTTGAGCAGCAGTGAGAAAACACAATGATCTAATGCAGATGTAGAGAAAAGGTAAGTTTGGCTGACAGAAAGGTGCCCAAAAACCTGCAGCACAGGTGTGGGGATGGACACAGGTGTTGGTCCTCCCTGGGAGGAGGATATCATCCACTCATACCCACACTCTCTCATTGCCATGTTGTGAGTCCAGGCCACAGTGCTGCACGTTTTCTTGGAGTGTTAAGTTTGAAACCTGCCTGGATTTCCTCTTCCCCCATGGCTGCTCTTCACCTCAGCTGCTGCATTTCAGCCAGCAACAACCGTTCTTTAAAACAGTCTGCTTTGAGACGAGCAAGCTGGGGAGGAAAAAAGGGGGAAAGGGAGGATTTGGTAGCAGCCCAGCTGAGCTGGAGGATCAAGTTTGGGGTGGGAGGTATTTTGCAAGGAGCTTTCCAGTGGTCCCATCCAGCCTGATAGAGCAGGAGGAGGTTTGTGTGGCCACTTGCCAAAGAGATGCAGGTCATTACCCACCAGAGGAGAGTGATTTCTACCTCTGTGACACTGAGCATTGCCTGAGTTTAGCCAGGGCCATGTAGAAGGACGCACAGTGAATCTTGATTCTTCTCCCAGTTATTTTCTCGGGCTGTGTCACCTCGTGTGCCTCAAAAGAGGCCCTGCTAGCACCCCAGCCAGGGCAAGCCTGGGGAATCCCACCACATTTCTCCATCAGCAAAATAACCCCTTGCTTTGGGCTTTTGTCTCCATTTGCAGTTTAAAGTGGTAAAAAACTATCTGCAGCTCCCCGGGTCGAGATGGGGAAGTGCTGGGGCAGCAATCCTGGTTTCCTGGATCACAGGGTCCCAGCTGGCCACCAGGGCTGGCCCAGAGCCAAAGCATGGTCCCTTCTCTTGTGGACAGGGTTGAATGGAATTGTCTTTCTGCCTTCCCTTTGGTGCCTGTGCTTTCTGCCTGTCTGGGATGGGGCTGTGGCATGAAGAGGAAGCCAAGAGCAGTGGGTGGTTTCCTCTTTCCTTCCAACCCTTTCTTTATTTACATCTCTTTTATGTATTGTTTCTACCTTTAGGGGATATTTTTTCTTGACCTCTTTTGTTGCCAAACCCTCCTGTCGAGTTTGACAACCTATTTATGGGACAGACCCATTCTGTGGCTCCCTGGATGACTGATCTCTCTCCAGTGATGGTGCAGCCATCACTGAGGATTCAGATTCAAGCCACACAGGTTGATAGTACAACTGAGGAGGTGGGTAGATCAAAACTCCCTCCTGTGTTTGGCACTTTGGATCTGTCAGATCCCTGTGGCTGGTGTTTTGCTTCCTTACCTTTCCTTCTCCTGCAGACAGTGGTGGGCCTATAGGAAATAGGAACTTATCTGCACAAAAGCTCTTTTCCTGCAGATATAATGGAAATGTTTTCTCACAAGCCAAGTGTTTCCTAAAATAATCCACGCTGCGAGTTTCAGTCAAATTCGCATCTTAATGGTGTTTCCAGGAATGGGAATGGCTGCTCCCAGAGGCTGGTGGGGAAATAGGAATAGGAACCGTGTTTCAGGAGGAGGACTGCACCTGTATGGAGTGGCAGGACAAGGGGGAATGGCTTTAAACTGACAGAGGACAGGATTAGACAAGGCATTAGGAAGAAATTCTTCCCTGTGAGGGTGGGGAGGTCCTGGCACAGGTTGCCCAGAGAAGCTGTGGCTGCCCCATCCCTGGAAGTGTCCAAGGCCAGGTTGGATGGAGTTTGAGCCACCTGGTCTAGTGAAAGGTGTCCTTTCCCCCAGCAGGAGACTGAAACTGTACAATCTTTAAGGTCAGTCTCAACCCAAACCATTCTGTGATTCTATGATTCCCCTGTGATGGTCAGGCAGTTGTATCAGCAGATCATTACAGGTCCCTTCCGAGTGAAATATTCCCTCTCCATCCCCCTCCCCCTCTTCCTCCCCTCTCCTCCCCTTCCCTCCTCTCCCTCCTTTCCCTTCCTCTCCCCTCCACTCCATTCCACTCCATTCCATGGGACCTCAAATCTGTTGCAGCCTCCCCATCCCAAATCCCACTCCCCGGGTCCTTCTCAAACATAACTCCCCCACGCCAGGTCCTGTCACGATGGGGTTACATTTCCCCATCAGAAACTTGATCTTTCATCAGGTCCTTGACACAACAACCAGTGCTGATGGGCAGCTTCTGGGAGAGCAAATACTTTGCTGTTGTGAGGGCACAGAGGAACGAAGCAGATCTCTGGAGAGCAGCATTCGGCTGCCAATCAAATCTTAGAAGTGTGTCTCCTGTTTGGGAAATGCTTCATGGAGAAAAAAAAAAAAATAGCATTCTTCTGCACAGTCACCAAATGGAAGACCTCTCCCCCCTCCCTCAAAATCAGGTTGTTGCCTTGACTCCAGACAGATCCAGGGATAAAGTGGCTCAGTGCAGCCTGCGGTTCCTGAAAGGTGAAATATTGGTCAAACCTTTCCTGGGGTGAATTTGAGCAAGAGCCCAGAGCTGGTGGTTACCACGTGGAGAAATTATCTCTGTGGCAGTTGATGGAGCTCCTGCAGTGATTACAAACAGAAAAATAGACCCACGGTTTTATACTGGTCTGGTAGTGAAAGTACCACCTTTTAGAGCTGTGGGATGTTGCAGAGCTCTCTGCTGTCACAGGGTTCTCTCTTGCCAGGCAAGCTGTCCTTCAGCTGAATCCCTCACTGAGAAACAGCTTCATGGTCTGGAATTTAAAGTATTGTTCAGAAACCAACAGCAGATCCCCCTGTGTAGGATAATAGGAGATAGCTGGTTGGACTCAGCGATCTTGGAGGTCTTTTCCAACTTTAATGATTCTACGATTTCAAGTGTCACCTTATTTATTATCAGCAGGGATGTAACAGAATCTCATAACAGGGCTGGACAAACACACTGAGCACATCCCTTGCTGGCCCTTTACAAGGGCTGAATCTGCTTCATTTTGGGAATCACTTGCAGGGCTTTGCATAGGAGCTGGTGGACCTGACCTGCCACGTGAGAGAGACCTGCCTTGTGGGAGCCAGCAGGTCTTTCTTGTCCTCCTGCTCACACTTTGGAGTCCTGTGAGTTTGACTACGTTTGTCTTGGAGGTTCCTCGTGTTTCCTCCTCACAGCGATACCAGGATGTGGAATTTGATAGGGGTTCAGAGTGAAGGACTCAGGGTTTGTGGGCGGCGTTTATTTCTACAAATACCTGTTCTGGGTGGAAACCAAGGGCAGTTTCCTCAGTTCACGGTTTATCTTGGCGTTTTTACTTTTCCACAGGTGCCAGCTGCCAGGATGATCCAGATGCTGCAGCTCCAGGGGGAAGTGACATCATCACCACGACCACAGGCAACAGCAAGGCACAAGTGACCACCCCTATAAGCGGTGCAGGAGACACACCACCCGACCCTAAGTCACCTACCACGGTTCAAATGACCACCACCACAGCCAAGCCAGAACCCCCTGCACCCTCTACCGCTTCACCCACCGCTCCTCAAGGCACCACCGCTGCAAACACCCTGAGAATCACCCCATCCACCCCTGCCTTGTCACCTACCACACTAAAAGGGGCCGCCACCACCATCGCCAAACAGGAAAACCCAACACCTGCCCCCACCACGCCACCCCCCACCACTCGGCAGGCCAGCTCTGCAGCCAGCTCCGGAGCGACCACAGCCACCCCTGCCGGCCCTGCAGCCGGTTTGGGAAGCTTGGGGACCACCACTGCTGCAAACCTCGTCCTCACTCATGGGAGCAGCCCTCCAGCCACCCCAGGAGGTTCAGGGGCTGCTGCCACACCCAGGCCGGACCCTCAGGGAAGCCAGCCTCCGGATCATTTGGCCAGTGCCACTGAGAGCACCGGAGTCCTGAGCAGCAGCTCTGCCCTTGGCCCCAAGGACCCTTTTTCCACACATGTCACCAAGCAGCCTCATTCTTCTTCCAGTTCTCCAGTCCAGGACCTCGCCTCTCCCACCAGGCCTGGAAGGACCAGCACTTCTGTTTCCCCTTTAAGTGGATCTCTGCCCCTCCCCACCAGTAAAACATCTCCGACTTCCCCACCCGGCAGCATCCACAAGAGCCCAGAGGCAGCCACCACACTGACTCCTGGAGCAGGTACCAGAAGATGAGAACCTTGATTTCTTTTGTGGTCTTTGCCTGCCCTGAACACCCCCTGCCATTATGGGGTGTCATCACCTCGTCTCATTTTGGGGCTTCCCAGCGTAGTTGTCTCTGTGGCGTCCTTGTATTTAGGACCCCGCTGTCGTCGGCGGAGGTCGAGTCAGTGCAGTCAGTGAAACTCAAGGCAAGAATCAACCAGCAAGAGCATTGGCATTGGCTTTTGGATGGACTAAACAGTGCCCAGGGCGCCATCAGCTGCAGTGACTCGATCTCCAGTGACAGCAGACGGGAGCCAGCAGCGATGGGTTCAGGGGTGGGGACTGCAGAGCTGATGAAACAGTCTGACTGCTGAGTGTAGGAGGTCCCTAGCACAGCTGACAGCTTAGTGGAGGCTGTCTGGGCATGCACAGCAAATGAGCTTTAAATGACTAAGGAGATTTTGTGGCTAAACTCTTGAGTCTACAACCTCTAAAAGAGTCTAAGCACCTGGGGAGGACATTCTTCACCGCTGCGGGAGGGGCTTGGCTGCTGACTTCTGTCTAAGCAGCATTAAGGGTGTCCATGTGGTGCTCAGGATCTTGCTGAACACCATTACTATGTCTTCTCTAGATCTGTGAAGTTTTACAGTCATGTAAGTCACAAGTGCCCCAGTGAGGCACAGTTTAGTGTCCCCCTTGGCATTTTCTCAGGTAGCATCCCTAGGGAAGGAATCACCCTGTGGGACTGTGAGGGCTCCACGGAGCCTTCCAGACTTGGCTGGGATTGTGTGTTCAGCTCACATGTGGCTCTGCATAAAAGCTGTGATGACACTGAAGCACTTCATCATCTCCCCCTGGACAATGTTGCTCTTGAACCAGTTTCCAGTTACCTGGAATACAAAAGCCACTCTAAAACCATCTCCATCCCTCTCAGCTGTTGGCATCACTGAATGGGCCAAGGTCTTAATGCAAGATCATCTTCACTGGGTTCACCCAAGTCATGTTTTGAGCATTTTAGCAGCCATAAGGAGGTGAAATGAGTATCATCATGAAGGATGTTTCACTCCCCTCCTGCTCCACAGGGCTGCTCTTCATTAAAGGGTGATGTATGAAAATATGTTAATTCAAATTTGACCTCAAGCATTCAGCCTGAAGAGGTCTAAAAAACCCTTTATATTTAATAACTATGTGAGGGAATGTAAGAGAAACAGATGGCTTTGGAATTAATTCTCTCCTGGAGCCTTCAGAATGTGTCTGGGAGAGAAATATCCCTCATCTTTTCTGTGGAAGAGGCAGGAGTCCCAAAAGCAAACAGGCTGTGAACATCCTGTGGCATTTTATTTCTCTTTGTCACCATTTAAGGATCAATTAGGAACCCAGGGATGAAGATCCATGTCTTCAAAGGGACCTGGGGAGGCAGGAGGTTGCTTCGCTCCTTGCACTGCTCCCACTGCACAGATAATTCTAAGATGCTCCAGACCTTTATAAAATCATCTGAGGTGATCTCAGGTCTGTCTCAGACACCTGCATGGAGCTGGTAGACGTGAGGCTTGTGCCCTTCTGGAGTAACAGGCAGGGAGGACACCCCAGGCTGCCTCACTTAGCACCAGGCACTACTTCTAAGCACGTCACCCTGGTCTTCTTCCATGGAGGTGCAGCCAGCAGAGGCTGTGGCACTTCATCCCCTCCTAATGAAGGTGGCTGGGAGATCCTGGGTAGCCAGGCTGACCTCTGCTGAGGAAACCTTCCTGGAAGTCACCCCAGATGAAGTGAAATGAGGGTCATCCATCCCACACAGCCATCACAGCCTTTGGGTTCAGCCCTCCAGAACACTCTGGTGGGTTTCAGCGGCAGAAAGTAAAATCAGGAATGATTTTCTTTCCATATCAAACAAAAAAACAAACAAACAAACAAAAATTAAAAGGAGCAGCCCAAAGCCTCTCCAAGCTTTGATACAACGATCCTCAAGGCAGGGCTAGAGCAGGAAGCTTATTTTCAGCTGATCCCTAACAGAGCCGTGTCAGCTGTATCCTCTGTACGGTAACAGTGTCTCCCTGCTTGTTTTTTCGGTGCACGTAGAGGACTCAGACCAGAGAAGCCACGATGCTGGACCTACGTCAGCCAAACCCACCAGTGCCTCCCGGGGCCCCGACAGTGCCCAGCCATCCCCCCCAACCCCAGGGGACCAGACAGTGCCCAGCGAGCCTGGCCACCAGCACCTGAACACTTCTTTCCAAAATGAGGTAACGACACCCCTGGGAAGAGACAGGGAGGATGGAGGTGAAGGGGAGCATGTCCAGAGAAGGGAAAGGAGCTGGGGAAGGAGCTGGGGCACAAGTCTGATGAGGAGCAGCTGAGGGGGCTCAGCCTGGAGAAAAGGAGGCTCAGGAGGGACCTTCTTGCTCTCTACAACTCCCTGACGGGAGGTTTTAGTGATGTGGGGATTGGTCATTCCCCCCAGGTAATAAGTGACAGGATAAGAGAAAACGGCCTCAAGTTGTGTCAGGGAAAGTTTAGATTGGATTTTGAGTAAAAAAAATCCTCTCTGAAAGGGTGGGCACGCTTTGGAACACCCTGCCCAGGGCTGTGGTGGAGTACCCATCCCTGGAGGGATTTAAAAACCACGTGGATGTGGCACTTGGGGACATGGGTTAGTGGTGGCCTTGTCAGTGCTGGGGGAATGGTTGGATCATCAGCAGATGATCTTAGGAGGCTATTCCAGCCTTAATGGTTCAATGATTCTGAGATTACAATCTGGGTGAAGAAGTGAAATTTGGGAAGGAGAGAAGCATTATGGAGAGCAGAAGCTGCCTTGGTGTGAACTTGGGCTTGATGAGAGGGCAAAGATCACAACTCAGCACAAACAGCACGTGGATGATACCAGCAGAAGATGGTTTGGGAGCTAAGGGGGGGCCTCAAAGCACAAATCAGAATAACCAAAGTGCTGGGAAGGTGGGAAGGGGATCCTGTTTCTGGATGGTCATCTTTTGTCAGGCTGGGCTGCATCACAATCTGCTGGCTGTGGATCTTCCTACTCCCAAAGCAGTTCCTGCTTTACCCTATACTGCAAACCCCAGGCCTGGGTTGGGAAGGGCATTAGCAAACATTCCACAGAAAATCATGTCAGTCATCTGTGAAAACCCTTTCCACATATATAGGGCTGAGTGAAGGGCTCCTGGGCCTGTCTCATGTCCATAAAATGGACCAGAGCTTCTGCTGGGATATCTCCTGGCTTGGGGCAGTTAAATAAGTGACCAACTGTCCTTCCAACCTTCCCCATCCCTTGAGAGTTGCTTTTCTTCTGTCCTTCCAGGTCATCTGTAAAGATGCAAAAGGTGTGCCTGCAGAGGTGCAAGACAACTGGGTCACTATGTATCTGAAAGAAGCCAAAACCTGTGTAAGTACCACTTTTTTTGGACTTCCGTGGAGGATTAGCAGCTGGGCTTTGATGTGAGATCAGCTGCTGCTCTGAGCATGTGAGAAAATGCCCAGAAATGAGAGTAATTTCATCAAAAAACCTGGAGTTTGGGACTCTCTGTGCTCCTTGATGCTGTATCAGCTCTCACAGAACCCTAAAGTGAGAGCAAAAAACCCCATTTCATTTGTTTGGGACCCTGCACAAGACCAGGGAGTAGCAAAATGCAGTGCCAAGGCTGGGGACAGGCAAGCCTAACACGAGTTCTGCACACCAAGACCCCTTCTGGTGGGTGGGCACTGTCTCCTTGTGTTCCTGAGGGATATCCACCTTCAAATTGGTTCTTGTGGAAACTGTGAGTCTCCTGCAATAGGGAAGATGCAAGATACTGGTAACTTCTAAACAGGATGAAGTTTTAGGCTGATGATAAAGGGGAAGAGACACCACATGGTCTCTATGGCTGGTAAGGTCCTGACAGGTATCCACCTGAGCTGTGGGTGGGGCTCAGGGGTGGGTTTTGGCATTACAATGCTGTGGTTTCTGGCAGTCTGAGCATCAGGAAATTGGCATTTCAGGAATGTTCTCACAGGCTGTGCCATGGGCAGGGACACTTTCCACTAGAAAACGTTGCTCCAAGCCCTGTCCGACCTGGCCTTGGACACTTCCAGGGATCCAGGGGCAGCCACAGCTTCTCTGGGCAACCTGTGCCAGGGCCTCTCCACCCTCACAGCCAAGAATTTCTCACTAATATCTAGTCTAAACGTCTCCTCTTTTAATTTAAAACCATTCCCCCGTGCCCTATCATTCCCTCTCCTCAGTCTTCACTAAGTGAAGTCACACACACCAGTTTCTCCTGGGACCACCCCTTTTCCCCGGGCAGTGTCTGGACGTGGCTGCAGGTTTCACTCTGGGAAAGCTTCTCGTCAAACTTTATGCTGAATATAGAAAAAAAAAAATATTTAATCAGATCGACAAAACCCAGTTTTGGAGCCTGAGATTAGTTATGACTGTGCTGGTGTTTAACGCTTCCCTCCTCCTTGTGGGTACAGTTATGGAGCTGCTGTCCTTCCCATGGCTTTGCTGGGGTTTTTTTGGAAGCACTGGTGAGTTAGGGAGTGGGCAAACATCCCAGCTTGGCCTCATCCATCACTCCTCTGTGCCCACTCCACTGGGCAATGGAGTGTTGGAGCTGGTGAGCAGCGAGTCCGTCGTCCCATCTCCCTTCGATTCCTCTGGGCGGAATAACGAGCTGAATCACTGTTAGTACAAAATGCCAGTTATGCCTCAAAACAGCCACAGAAAGGCTCCAAGGGTGCATCCTCCCATAGCATCGCCCTCCTGGGCTGCCAAAACAGCTCCCATTAGCTTTCCAGTCGTTGGATTCCTGAAAGCTGCGACCGGTTTTGTGCCTCCTCGGCGGAGCAGATAACAGAGAAATGGCTCTATCTGGCTTCCCTGCTTTGTAGGCCCCTGGTAAACACCTCCCCAGCCAAATCCTGACAGCAAAGTGAAAAAATCCTTTGCATTTCACAGCCCGTGGGAAAACAGGAAAGTGTGTGCTATAAGGAGAAGCGGCTCCAGAAATGGCTCCAACCCCGAGCCGGAGTTGGGGCGGCATTGTGCTAAAAATTCACACCCAGCAAGAAGCCAGGGGAGCATCAGGGGCAACGTGGGGGACCAGTGGTGGGTGGGGGGGGGACATGTCCAGATCACACGAGGCAATGGGGAGGGCACTGTGCAGCCACCCACCCCATGGCTGGGCTGGTGGGGCAGCAATGTCGACGCAAAGACCCCAGAAAACAGTTGGGACTGAACCCAGGAACTGCTGACATTTCACCCCATCCCACCTCAGTTTCTCCAGTAAATTTAAAAATAAAAAGGAACTCAAACTATAAACAATAAACAAAAGCCAAGTGTACAGTTGGTACCACTCTGTGGGTCAAATGTGGGTCAATTTTGTGGGCTGGTTGGTTCCTTGCATCCTTACTCTGCAGGTGATGCTTTGAACCAGCCCTGAACAGTTTGGTCCATGTTCCCCCACCCTTCCTTTGATTAGAGCAGGATCTTAACAGTTTTTTTTAATAAGGCTTATTAGGTTGACACTTCACGTTCCACAGGATGACTTCTCCCAAGGACTGGCTGTCAAGTGTATTTTCAGTTGGGTTTTTCTTGTCTGCTTGGGTTGCTCCCTCCTTGGAAGGGATGGATGCATGGATGGGTGTTCTGCTCCCCTTTCCAGCCCCAAAATGAGTCAGGTGAAGCAAGAGGAGATGAAGTCAGAGGTGGCTGGTGTAGCCTGAGCTGTGGTTGACGCACGACCCTGTGGCCACTTCCCAGGGACTCCCTGTCCCTCCTCCATCGTGTCCCCCACCGGGTCACGGATGTGGCCAGGCAGCTGAGTCGGTGGATGCTCGGGAGAGCCTTCTGCAGTGGGGGTTGCAAAAGCAACAGCAGGAGCACCTGACCTTTACTGAGGGAATTTCTCTGTGACACCCACCAGTCTGGGCACAGCAGGACTTTCCCCGGAGCAGGTGGAGGGACCCCCTGACCGAGGAGGGTCGTGGTCCCCCCTCGCCCTGTCCAGCTGGCGGGGGTGGTTTGTTGACTCAAGTGCTGTTACCTCATTCGGGGATGTTGGTTTTAGGTCCCCGCCAGTGTGGGAACCGGATCCGAGCTGCTCGGCAGCGCCTCTCAACTCCGGCCAAGGAATGCGAGCGGGGAGGGGAGAGCTGCCAGGGCATCCCTGCCGGCTCAGCGGCCTCACCCTGCCCCTCTCCAAGCCTGGAAAGGGTCAGTCCCTCCAGCTCAGCCTCGTTAGGGGTTTAGGCACCGCTCACGAGCTGGCAGCGAAGTGGGTTTGGTCCTCAACTGCGTTTTAGCCTCGCATCCAATTTCTTTTCCCACCCAAGAAAAAAAAGCATTTTAAAAAGCCTTTCCCCCCCCCCCCCCCCCCCCCCGGGTGGTGGGGAGAGGAGCAGGTTGTTAAGGGCTGGGGGAATGCGGAGCTGCGGGGGAAGGAGGATGCAGGGAGGCAGCAGAGGCTTTCCCTGCCTCTGCCGAGCAGCGAGCGCTGCACTGCCAGGGATTGATAAAACACGGGACATTCCAGGAGTAGGAGCAACACCCAGCGTCCAGACGTGAGAAAAACCACCGGCACGACCAAGCCACAGCCCCCCTCCTCCCTGTTCCAGCTGGGAACCAGCTTTCTAGGGAATGCCACCTATTCTTGCTGCCCCGGGGCAGGTTTCCCACGCAGCTCTTTCCCCAGGAATGCAGCTGGGATGCTACAACCCCCGAGAAGCCCCAGGGAGGTTTCTCCCGGTGCGAAGCGAAAGGACAGGCGAGGTTCCCAGGGCCGGCCGGGGCCTCACGGTGCTGAGCTCACCCTCGCACTGTACCCGGGGCCGGCCTTCCGCCCCGGCAAGTGCATCCTGTCTCCGCTGACTGCTTCCCAAATATTTAGATAAGATGGGGTGAGATTAGGTGCCTTCCTCGGCCGGGCAGCTCCCATCCTTGTGGTGCAGCAGGCGGGGATGCTGCCGGCCGCCCGGGGGGTGTTGGAGAGGGAGGGGAAGGTTTGGGGGGGGGGATGGAGACGGCAGGAGCAGAGCCTTTCCCATCCAGCCACCTCGTTTCAGCGTGGATTGAGGAATTTTACACGCAGCATGTTCCATGCAGGACCTGTGGAGGAATCGTAGAATCATTAAAGTCAGGAAAGCCCTCTGAGATCACTGAGTCCAATCACTAACCCGGCCACTGTCAAATCCACCACTAAACCATGTCCCTTAGTGCCACACCCACACTTTGGAGGAGTGATGTGCAGGAGGGTGATGTCTCTACCTTAGTGAGCTCCCAGCTGCTGCAAAGCCCTGAGTAGATACAAAATGCCTCAGGAATATCTCAGAGGGAGTATGGGCTCCACCTAGGCCTCTGCCACTCCCTCCAGTGCTGACCAGGCTACTCCCCACAGGCACGCTCCAGTTTGCCCAGAGGAGCTGCGGATGCTCCATCCCTGGAAGTGTTCAGTGCCTGGCTGGATGGGACTTGGAGCAACTTGGTCTGGTGAAAAATGACTTGTTAAAGTCTCTTCCAACCCAAACCGTTCCATGATCCATTCTCTGATTCTATCCAAAAGCAAGACACTGTCTCTCGCTCTTCCCCACGGAGCAGTCGGGAAGCTGTAAGGAAGACGGGGAACATTTCTACCCTCTGTTCCCGTGTTCTGCCAGGGAACAGAGGGTAGAAATGCAGGTGGCAGAAAGGCTGAAATGCTTGTGGGGGGGACAGTGGGGCTGCACAGCCCTGCCCTGCTCCCACTGCGGCCCCTCAGCCTCCCCAGCCACCCCCGCCCTGCTTCCCTCAGGGACCTGCTATTCCTGTAACTCCGAAGGCTGCGGCTCACAGATAAGGCTGGTGCAGGGCCCCGGTGAGGAACCGCGGCCAAGAGCTCGGCTTCTTGTAAAGAAACTACTTTTAAACTCTTCCTGTTCGCTGGGAGGGCCGGCAGCAGCCGGGCAGTGCAAAGGGGTGAGGGAAGATCACGGAATCACAGAGGGAATTAGGCTGGAAAAGACCCCTGAGGTTACTGAGTCCAACCTGTGAGCGAACATCGCCGCATCAACTACACCAGGGCACCGAGTGCCACGTCCTGTCTTCCCTTGGAGGGAGTCATTCTTAAAAGATGGGACATCTCCCATCACTGCTGAAGGGGTGAGGTGTTCCAGGGCAGCCCCTGGGTGTGGGGACAGTCGCTGACCCTCGCTGTCCCCACAGGCCGAGTGGAGGACGGCGAGCGCCAACATCTCCTTCTTCGAGAGCCTGTGCTCGACGGGCCAGCACACGTTCAACGCCAGCAGGGAGAGCTGCACGGTGACACTGCTGTCCCCCAGGCCACAGTCCGAGCGCTGGGACGTGCAGGTGGTGCTGCACCGTGAGTATGATCCCACCCTCCTGCCCAGAGTGGGGCAGGATGGGGACCCTGGCACGGGGATGCAGGTGGAGGCTCGGCAGAACCCTCAGGTCTGGTGGAGCTTGGCCAAGGGGCTCCGTTCCTTGGGCTGTCCCATCCCATTGCCTCAGAAGACCCCAGAAATGAGCTTTTTCTCTCCAAGGAGAGCACCAGAGATCCCTCTCCCATCCACGATGTCTAAAGGCAGGAAACCAGCCTGTAGGGTGAAAAATTCCTCCCAAGTGATTAAAATCCAGTGCCCAGTCCAAATCCTTCCCTAAGGGACCACAGAGGGGAGTTTCTTGCCCATGTCACAGCCCTTTGGGGAAATCCATCTCAGCCCTGGGATGCCCAAATGTTGCTTTAGGACCAGGATGCCAGGCAGATGGAGACATCCTGCTGCTGTAACATGAGGGCAGGGAAGGCCTGAGCTCCATCCTCCTCTTCCTCATCAGCAGGCCAACCCAGGCATTAGGTGGGGAGTCCAGCCTCCAGCACCTGACCTCAGGCAAGGCAGCCAGGCACTGGGGACTAATCCTGCACTGCTCTGGCCTGGCCTGAAGGAGCTGGTAACAGCCCCTCGTTGGCCTCGCTCATAAATCACCCACTGGAGATGCCCCCAACCCCCTGGGGCTGGGGGATGGTGAGGACCGGGGGTTGTCCCCTTTCCAAGAGATCCTGGTTCCTTGTCTGGCTGTGAAGCACCTAGAAGGGTTGGCTTCATGCCCATAGAACTCCAGAAAGGAGATCAGGGGATGGTGGTGTGACCTTCCCCCCCTGCCTTGTGCTCACTGCAGCCTCTTTCTTCCCCCAGTTCCTTTGCACCCCGAAAACATCCTCAAGGAGCTGGAGAGGAAGGACAAGTTGGAGGCGGTAAGTGGGTCCCTGCTCACAGCAGATGCGCCCCGAGGTGGGGTGGGGGGAGTGTGGGTGGCTCAGGGGTCTGACCTGTCCCTCGTGTGGCAGCTGGGCATCGGCATCGCCAACACCACCAACGACAGAACGGAGAGGGAGGCGATAATCGACGAGTTCAGCACCCCCCTGATCATCACCATCGTCACCCTGGCCGGCTCCCTGCTGCTCGTCGCCGCCATCTACGGCTGCTGCCACCAGCGCTTCTCCCAGAAGAAGGACCAGGTGAGGTGGCAGGGGGGGTTGGGACGGGGATCCCGGGACCTTCTCACCCCCTTCAGGAGATGGGGATCGCCAGTGCTGCCATCTCTGCCCACGGAGACATCCTGGCTCGCCCAGCGGGCACCACACCCTTGCGTGGTGCTCGAGGGCTGCTGCGGGTGCTCCTGAGGGGCAGGAGCTGCTCCCTGAGGGGGAAAGCAGCCAGGATGAAAAGCAGGAATGGGAGAGGCTGGTGATGAAGTGACAGGGACAAGCAGTACCCATCCCTGCTGCCACCCAGGGCTGGGCAGCATCCTTGGGTCGTAATTTTGACAAGAAAGGCTTTCTCACCCTCCACCCCCTCCAAAATCACCTATATCTCCCCCCAAAAAAATTCTTGAAATACTTTTATGAGCAGTGGGTGCGCAGAATCAGCTCGATGCCTTCCCAGGGGTGCGAGGGAGCCCGAGGCTGTGGGCAGGGGTGGGGAGGGAGGAAGGAGAACGTCCGCAGGAGGGCATCGACACTGCACAGCTCAGCCTTTGCAAGAGCTGGGCCAGGGCCAAATCTCAGAGCAGCAGCAGCAGCAGCAGCAGCAGGAGGATTTAAGGAAGAACAGGACATGGAAGAAGAAAATCATGTAATTTTTATCTCAGGAAGCAATTTTGGGTGATTTCAGCGCAGCATCCACCTGCAAGGACTGGCCGTTCCCACACCCTGCGGCACCGGCACCAAGGTTTTCATTGGTCCCAGCTGCTCTTGCTGAGGATTCGGCTCCAGAACAGAGAGAAACAGAAAGGGAGATTAAAAAAAAAAAAAAAAAAAAAAAAAAAAAAAAAAAAAAAAAAAAAAAAAAAAAAAAAAAAAAAAAAAAAAAAAAAAAAAAAAAAAAAAAAAAAAAAAAAAAAAAAAAAAAAAAAAAAAAAAGGATTAAATCAAATTATGTAATCAGGGTAAACCACCCTCCCAGTGGAGAAGCAAACCCCTGCATCCTATTTCAAGTCATTTCCCCCCCCAGACCAGCTCATCCTTCCCCAGGGATCCCAACCTTTGCCCCACAGGGATAGGGCAGCCTTTGCTTCAGATACTTGCAGTGTAAGGGAGGTGAACACAGGAGGCAGGGAAGAGCAAACCAACAACACCAGCATCAGAATTGTCTGTACTTACAAGGCTTGATTTTTTGGGGAAAAACTGGGGGAGGATGCAGGACCTCAACAGATGCTTGACCTGGAGTGTGGTCCCCTTGGGGTTTCATCATCACTTGGATGAAATCGCCCTGGCTGGGGTGAAAAACATCCCAGCAGGGACAGGGAGCAGCATAACAACTCTTGCCCCATATTGCTCAGAAAACAGGTAGAGAGAGGGTATTTTTAGCCATGGAAATGTGTGACCCTCAAATATCCTGGTGCAGAGGAACAGGTACCAGTCCCAGTTGGGTGTTCCGGAGGTAAATTCCCACCAAGCACCGGGTAAAGTAGCGCCACTAAAGCAAGGGATGCAAGTTCTGAAAAATCAAACACATTTCTCCTTCCTGGCTTTGTTTTTGGGTGGTTTATTTTATTTTATTTCCCTCCTGCTTCGTTTCCAAAAGTGACTTGAAAGTTTTTTTTTTTTTATTTTATTTTACTTTTTTTTTTTTTTTTTTCTCCAACCCTCCCCTCCCTCCCTCCCCCCCTCCTCCGTTGTTTTCCCTTGGAAATACCCAGCACATCCACCCTGATCTCCCCGGGTTTGATGATGGACATGTGGCCCTGATCTTTAATGTGAGTTCCAACACAGGGGTCGGAGGGGCGGGAGCTGCATCCATAACAACCCCCAGCTCTCACCTCCGGCGCTTGGTAGGGTCCAGTAGCTTTTAACAGGACTAAAGCCCAGCTTAAAACCCCCCTTCCTCTTGCTGCATGGCCAGGGGTTGCCTTGCCAGGGCGGGAGAAAGCGCTGCCCGAGCATCCATCCATCCTTCTGGGGGTTGGACCGGCGATCCCACAGGGAAGCAGCCCCTGGGAGAGCCCAGGTGTGTCCTCTGCTTTCCATTCCTGCCCACATCTCCCCTGCCCACGAGCGACCCAGGGGCCCCCCAGCAGCGCCTCTGCAGCCCCTCTGCCAGTGCCAAGCCCTGCAGTTTTCCTTCATCATCCCTTTCCTTCTCCATGGATTCCCTCCCACGCCTGTCTCCTGACATTTACTGGGAGCACTGTAATAGACCAAGCTGTAAATCCAGGCAGATTTTTATCAGGGGTGCCCACTGAGAGCTTTAAATTCCCCAGAGAGGGCTCACCAAGGATTTCAGTTCCCCACTGAATCCTTCCAGGGAAGGATGGGGATGAAGGACCCACTAAGAGCCCTGCTGTCCCAAAAAGGGCTGACCAAGGATTGCAGTTCCCCACTGAATCCCTCTAGGGAAGGACAAGGGTGAAGGAGCCCAGGTGGATGGAAAATTAGGATGGGCTGGGGGTCTGCCAGGGGATGAAGGGCTGAGTCGGGGCCTGAAGCACATCAGAGGGCCAGGGTGTTAAAGTGCTTGGTTCCATCATTCCCTGCTCGGTTTCCACTGAGCTCCAGGATGAGGAGGGATGATGCTTAGGGAGGGGCAAGAGTCGGCAGCTTCTGCAAGGTGGGAGCTGCCCCTGGGTCGAGGAGGAGAATAATAATAAAACAGCTAAAAAGGGGCAGGGTGGGAGAAAGGGGAGGGGAAGAGAGGAGTCGAATTAGGGAGGCAGGAGTTGGGATGCAGGGTTGGGGCAAGGCAGCAATACTCAACCTCTTCCCAAGGTCCTGGGTGGACCAAGCTGAAGCTGGCAGCTGCTCCTGGAGGTTTTCCACGTGTCTCTGGCTGCTCTGTCCTCCCTCCCTCCATTAGCAGAGTCTCTCTCTTGCCAGCTCCATGCTATCCCCTCGCTGCCCCCCCCCCCAGCCTCAACCTCACCGTGAAAGTCTCTACGTGTAGTTCTATAAATCTATAGGGGCAGCTGTCATGGCTGGCTGGGGGGTGACAGCCCCGAGGTGACACTCACAGCGTGGCCAAAGGGGTTTTCCAGTGGGGTTTATGGGTTTTTCTTTCCTCGTAGCAGCGCCTGACCGAGGAGCTGCAGACCATGGAGAACGGCTACCACGACAACCCCACGCTGGAGGTGATGGAGACCTCCTCCGAAATGCAGGAGAAGAAGGTGAACCTCAACGGGGAGCTGGGGGACAGCTGGATCGTTCCTCTCGACACCCTCATGAAGGAGGACCTGGAGGAGGAGGAGGACACGCATTTATAGGGTGCAGAACACGATCAAGCAAAAAAAAAAAACGACCACCGCTCCCCCCCCAAAAAAAAAACCCCTTAATCCTTCTACACATGCACACACACAACTCCAAAATAAGGCAAAATCCCCCCCAAAAAAAACCCCAGAAAATCCCTTAATGAACGAATCATGGCCCCTTGTGCCACCACGTGGGTTGCAGGACGGAAGAGGAAGGGGCGTGAGAAGACACCTCTGGGGCACATCAAGACAAGCATCCTCCACCCCCCACCCACCTACCACACCAGAACTGAACAGCCATGGGCAAAAACAGGGTGGCTTTGCCCCTGAAGAGCTGCTGGTGTCTCCTCCCCATCCCACGTCCTCCAGCTACCGGGGGACTGAAGAGAAATAAAACAAATAGGATGGGAGGGTGAGCAAATCCAACAGCAAACCAGCACCTGGCAACTACAGCTCCAAAACCCCTCCTGTTTAGTCATCACTCTGCCCTCCCCAGCACCCAGGTATGGAGTGGAAAAAGCTGGAAGAGCCTGTTCTTTTTGAATCCAGTTTTTACATCCTTTCCCCCAGAAACCGCCGGGTAAAACGCACAAGAGTCCCCTCGTTGTGCCGTGGGCTGGCGGGTGCATCCAGACCCAGCAGGGTGGCAGGGATGCAGCAGTGCCAAGGGATGCTCGGCCCTGTCACCCAGGGCTGTGGAACAGATCCTGCACCCACGTGGGGACCAGGAGAGGTGCAGCAGCTTCTCGTGTTGCTGGGATGAGATAGGGAAGGAGAGGAAAGGGAGTCGTTCCTTGAGTTCCGTCCCTCTTGGGAAGGGTGCAGAGATCAAGAGCGATGCCAGGCATGATGATGTTGGGGGTTTCGTGGTGCAGGAAGCCATCTCTGGTGCTGCATTTCCGTACA